ACAGGAAGACAAATGCACAATGCAGATAACACTGACCTTTAAAAACGAAAGGAAAATCTTAGAAACAACACGATTATTTTTTTTTTTTTGGCTACCTTTTGGTATCAGACCATTTGCACTGACTATGTATTGTAAATTTGAAAGAATGGTTCATGGTTTAAAGCACTTATTAATTAGGCTAGACATTGCCTTGGGCTACACCTGGAGAAGCAGTTTAAACCCACGCTTCTAAAGTGCTCTTCCAAAGTGTTGTGTAAAGACTTGATGAACGCAAAGCATGGAAAACAGAAAAAAAGAGGTGCTTCATTCGTAAATGGCTAGCCCTGTTTAGGCGGTGGGCGAAATGCGCCTGCAGGGACGTTTTAACCGTTTACAGTTTTCTGAAGGTTTTTTTTTTTTTTTGGCAAAAGTTGCCCGTGAACTTTCTTAAAGGTATGTGAAATTCATCTTGGGAAGATACCACATTATACTCGAAACACGATATGTCCATGGCAACCGTATTTTGCTGGCAGAATTGTTTTTCAGATTTGAAATTTCTTTTAGTTTATATACTATACAAAATTTAAATGAAAATTTAGATTTAGCTCATTGTTTATAATAACAATTGTTTTATTGAATCTAATTATTTGTGAGTAGTTCCGATGTTTTGAAAAAATTGAGAAATCCATGGCGACTGTTTGGTTATTATGACGTATTTCCCGGCACGTGATTCATTGTAGAAGCTCGAAAACTACCCGATCTGAAAAGGGTTCAAAGGTAATAAATAGACGGTGGAGGGATGTGAAGTAGCGATTAGCAAAATGAACAATTACTACAAATCGACAAGTAATCGATAACAAGCTTTTAAGTAGATAGTAGATCGACTGCTAATAGATAGAGCTGACATTTAAATTGGTAGAACTGTATATGTTTAAAGCAAGTCCCATGTCTACCTAAACAACAACCATTGGTGCGTTCTAGATCAGTTCGAGAGACCTTCTTACACAGGTTTTGCATAAAACTTCACGAGATAAATAATTAAAGAATTATTAAACCCCTTCATTTGATCCCTACAGATTTATATGAAATAAGTCGTTAAACAATCCAGAATGGGGTAAACGTGGCCTTATAGCTTCTTAATCTATGAACCCTATTGAATGCCTGCCAATTCAAAATCCTTTTGTATGCATTTAAATTAGCCCAACTAACCTCGTTTGAGAGGAAAAATTCTTTTGAATTATCAGCTTAGTTGGGCTAGTTTTAATACTTTCAATTTTAATTGGCATCCATTTATGAATGGGGTCTTTAGAGCTTTTTCTTGCACGTGGCCATCATACTTGCAAAAGGAGTGTTGACATACGAAAAGAGTTTAACTCCGACAGGATTGGTTTGGTACACCAAAATGGCCGCTGTTTCATTGTTTCAGAACGCCCGGGATATGGCTGCCATGACGTCATGTAAAAATGCTCCATAAATTTGTCTGTTATCTTTTCAGGCGCACTTATTTTTTCCCACATCACGTGTCACGCAAAAGCTTCTTGCTATCTTCTTTGATCTAGGCTGGTAATTCGATTATTTATTAATAAGACTACTGTTACTGTCACAGTGAGTTATAGTGACACTAGAG